TATAATATATAATATATAATATATAATATATAATATATAATATATAATATATAATATATAATATATAATATATAATATATAATATATAATATATAATAAATAATATATAGTACATAATATATAATAAATAATATATAGTACATAATATATAATGTATAATATAATATATACATTATATATACTATTAAATCTGTATATTAGTCTTGAGACTAATAATCTATTTTTTAATTTAATTATTCTGAAGGAAATTTTGTTTTGTACTTCCCAGCTAGCAGTCATCAGCGTCGCGTCATTTTGTGTGGATTTTGTGTAAAAAAAGGGTTCGATTGAAAAAGTTTAGTTTCACATTTGCCGTCTACTCTCACTGGCTAAGACATTACGAACAGCGATTGTTTGTGGAGAATAAGAATTACGAACCTCAGAAAGTTGCTTTATATTAACCGCATTTCCGATTTCTGTTGCTTTGCTTACAAATTATGACAAGTTAATTTAATTAATTGGCAATAAATCAAATATGTTGTAATTGCTTACGCTGTCTGCTCTTGTGCCCTTGTGCTTGCAGTAATTGCTGTATCCAATGTGTTGCTTTTGAGTCCTCCTATGCGCGCATATACCGTGCATACACAGCGCATATATGAATGTCAAGCAAACTGAACTGATCGTCAATCAAAAGTGGAACGTTAAAAGTCAAAAAAGGAGGGAAAACATGAGTTATGAACTGAATTGATTGCACAAGTTTGATCCATCAAAGTGTCTAACAACAGTTCACTTCATACTTCATTTCGTTTTCATTTATTCCTTTAATGCTTCTGCTTTTTCTGCGGTTTGTGCTCACAGCTTTCAGTTTTCGTTGCTCTTGTAGTTGGTCGTGCATAGTTGGTCAAATATGAACTGCCGTAAGAGGGCGCTTAAACACACAAAGCGATGCTGTGACAGACATGATATGTTGTTTTATCATTTTGTTAACAGTTAGGTTTGTGACTGCGAAAAAGTGAGTGAATGTTTGTATGGGAGTGTATGTGTGGGGTCTTAATATGTGTGTGTGCATTAACACTCTTAAGAAGCCGTTCGTTGGTATTGTAGTGAACATTTGGCCTCATAAGCTAATGAAATGATAGATTTGCAGATTAAATTGGTTTAGACATCATATGAATGCTGGCGTAGTAAGAAACAAAGACGGCGGCGTTGATGATATATGACGGCAATGTTGGCATATTGATGATGAGAGCGATTATGGATGCAGCTAAAGGCAGTACATAATCATGCGTTAAATTGTTCTTATTATTTGTGGGACAAGTTTTATGATACGCCTTATGACTGTACGTATGGTTGCGCAAGTATCTTCAAGAAATCAG